ATTGCGTATACGTAGGGATGACCACGATTCGGTTCGAACTGAATCGGACACTATAGCAATCGAATTAAAAGTTTCCGGTTATGATTCAGATCTAGAACCCAATATTTGGATTTCAATTTATTAAAATTATGAATAAAAAAAATTGGATCCTGAACCGTGAACCGGCGGTTCCGGACCCGATTCACGATTTTGAACCGTTTTTATTTTAAAATTTTTATTTTTATTTTAAAAATAGTCTAAATTCAACAATAAATGTATGTTATTTTTTCAGTTCGGAACATGAACCGTCCGTTCCGGGATTTTAATAAACTCTAAATATCGAGTTTCGATTCTAAATTGTAATTAAAATATTTCGGTTTGGTTGCTATAGTGTTTATTTGGTTTGAACCAAATTATGGTCATAATTTGTTGGAGAAGAAAAATAAATAAAATATTTATTTTAAGGGTAAATATGTCCATTTAACATTTTAGGGAGAAAAACAGCCACTTAAATAATTGAGGTGGGTAAAGCGCTATAAGTATATAACTCAGGGGGAAAAAGTGTCATTTTCCCTATTTTTAATTTTAATAATTTAAAATTCAAAATGATTTTTTCTGTTGTTGTTGTTGTTATTATTATTATTATTATTATTATTATTATTAAATACACACTACCCACACTCCCACACCCACAACCGGTTATTATTATTATTATTATTATTATTATTATTATTATTATTATTATTATTATTATTATTATTATTAAATTAAATACCCAAACCCACTTACCCACAAATACCCAAACCCACAACCCATTCCCAATACCTACCCAACTTCCTCTGCAAACGATGCGAAGCAGCGAAAAGAAACGGCGATTTCGAAGCGAAGACGACGGCAAAGACACGACCGAGAATCAGAGGATGAAGATTTGGTGATTGGAGATGGCAGAAGGCAAGAATCAGAGGGGCGAGAAGCGGTGGGCAAGAAAATATTGTGCGAATTTGATTTTTTTTTTTGAATTAAAAAATATAGTTCGTATGTTGAGTTTTGAAGATGAAGATGATTTCTGTGATGGGTTAATAGTCAGTTTCATTATTTTTTATTTGTTTTTAATTTGTGAATTTTCTTCCATTATGTTCTGTTCCATGGCTCCATATGAGGGGAGGAGAAGAGGAGGAGATAGTGTTTTCCATTGTTTTGTTCCTTTACTACTGAATATAGGTGAGATTTGGAATGAAGATGAGATCAGGGATAATTTTGACTTTTTAGAAGAAATGGAGAAGAAATAGAATCAGCTAAGGGAGGCAGCGTTTAGAAAATCAGCTGATTCTATACCAACAATCTCTTTTACCAAACACTAATTTTGGCTGATTGACCAAGTCAATCAGCCAAAATTGGTCAAATCAGCTGAAAAATGGCTGATAACCAAACACCCCCTAAGTGTGTACAAACGCGAATTAAATGTGTGCAAACACACTTAATCGCGTTTGGACACATTTAATTCGCGTTCGCACACACTTAATATAATCTAGACCATTAAAAATATTAGATGGATGCACACGATTTGTTCTCACTTAAGCAAGTGTTCTCATATGATCCTATATATATATATATATATATATATATATATATATATATATATATATATATATATATATATATATATATATATATATATATATATATATATATATATGATTATATTCAAATACAAGCATGCTTTAAAATACAAACGTGTGGATTCATATGGATCGTTGGATTTTGCGATTGGATGTCAATGATTTGTTTTATTATTTATGGTGTGTTTTTATGTTGGGATCAACTGATGTATTTTAGTGGGGGTATTTTTGGATTTTCTTTTTCTTCCCTTCCCATTCAATTCTTTATTAAATTCAATTGTTATTATTGCATGCGACTTTCCCGGTCTTTGTCTCGCTCGTTTTCGATCCGCGTGGCTGCCAAGGGATCATCTCTCCGTCGATTCATCTTCTTCATCAGCCGCCGCACTATGGTTGCTTGTGGGGTTTGTAATGGAGCGAAGCGATGGGGACCATCATCCCAGGGTTCAGGTCGAGGTATTTTTTTGCTCCGCTTGCTTGTTTGCGATATTTCTGCTCGTTTTTTTAGCTTGGTTTTGTTGGGGTGTTTGTCATTTGGTGGGGAATGTGGTTATGCATATGGGTTTCCTTCATCAGCCGAGTTGTGTGTGGGTTGGGGGTGGCTTACGGCGGTTGGAGATCAGCAGGTAGAACAGGGGAAACCAATGAAACATTCGAAACAGGATCAACAGATACAGACTCTACAACATTATCAGGCTTATCTGGAGAGATAGAAATAACAGAAGATGGAGTAGATTTTGACCTGGTTTCAAGAATCTCCTTCCGACGTTGTACTTCATCATGAGCCAATTTCTGGTAATGCTCCTGAGTCGATGTTCGAAGGCGAATGGTATCTTGGTAGCGTTACATCATTTCCTTGGTGTTGAGGTAATTCCCACTCCCGATGGCTTGTTCTTGTCTCAATCGCAGTATACTATCGATATCTTGAAAAAGGTTGACATGCATGAAGCTAAGATTGTGCGTACACCGATTGTGTCTCCTGTTGATTTATTCCGACCGAAGGATCAATCCACTGTTGCTGCTGATGCTACGGTATATCAAAGGGTAATTGGTCTTTTACAATACCTTTCGATTACTTGTCCCGATGTTGACTATGTCATAAATCGCCTTTCGCAATTCATGCACAATCCTCTATTAATTCACTGGCAAGCGGTCAAACGAGTGCTGCGTTACTTAAAGGGAACTGTGTTTCATGGGCTGCTTCTTCGTCGTAGCACTCAATTACATCTCGCTGCTTTCTCAGATTCAGATTGGGGTGGTGTTCATGATGGTGGCCGATCTACAACTGGTTATGTTTTATTTTTTGGGTCCAATGTAATTTCTTGGCGCTCGGTTCGACAGAAGGCAGTAGCTCATTTTTCTACAGAAGCAGAATATCGCGCTTTGGCGAATGCGGCGGCTGAGGTTATATGGGTACACAATTTATTGCAGGATATGGGGGTTGTTCTTCCTCATTCTCCGGTGTTGCATTGTGACAATTTGAGTGCTATGTACGTCTGTCAGAACCTGGTGTATCATTCAAGAATGAAGCATCTCGCGTTGGACTACTTCTTTGTTCGAGTTCATATTGTAAATGGTACACTTCGTGTCCAACATGTTCCGGCTACTTCTCAAATCGCTGCTATCCTCACAAAGGGGTTGGGAAGACGTCTGTTTGAGCATTTTCGGTCCAAGATGGGAGTTTCTGATGGCTCCTCCATCTTGCGGGGGCGTATTAAGAAATAGTATTACTGGTTATTATTATTTAGTCATTTTGTATTTAAATTCACATGCTTACCTTATTATTCTCCTTTGTTAGTTTGCACATAGATAGCTAGTTGTTACCATACTTCTTCTGTATATAATGGATTGTGATGTATGAATAGATGATCAACTTTCACTTCTATTATATTCTCACAATTAGTAACAATCGTTTTTACTCTAATTGGTTACAAGTATTACAATATTTTTACAAATAAGTATTACACTTTCAGTTCCTCTCAAATATTACAATTTCAATTATAAGTATTATAATATTTTTACAAATAAATATTACAATATATTGTTATAAGTAACAATTTATTTATTTCAAATTGGTATTAAATTTTCTATAAATTATTATGAGTTCTATTATAGGTAACAACCCGTTTTCTACGAGTTTTTTTTTTTTTTGCAGTTTTGGTCCCACGACTATAGTGTCACTAACAATTTTGACCCACGACTTTTAAAACTTGTAGAATTGGTCCACGACTATTACTTTCTTAGCAAAAATAGTCCTTCCGGCGAACTCTCCGTCAATTTTTCACCGGAATTTTTTTCTCCTTTTTTTACAAGGGTATAATGGTGTTTTCATTTACCTAAACTAATGACCTAAATAATAATAATAATAATAATAATAATAATAATAATAATAATAATAATAATCTGCTCAGATTACGCACACATAATATTTAGGTCATTAGTTTAGGTAAATGAAAAGACCATTATACCCTTGTGAAAAATGAGAAAAAAAAAAATTCGGTGAAAAATTGACGGAGAGTTCGCCGGAAGGACTATTTTTGCTAAGAAAGTAATAGTCGTTGACCAATTCCGCAAGTTTAAAAAGTCGTGGATCAAAGTTGTTAGTGACACTATAGTCATGCGACCAAAATTGCAAAAAACTCCGTTTTCTACTACTAGACTTGTCTCATGGATAAAAATCTGTGGGATGGTTTCACACAAACTTTTGTGCACTATATTTGATATTTTGTCATTAACTTATTTTAATCATTTAAACTTTGCAAAAAGTTGTGTGACACCATCTCATCGTGAGACGGGTAGAGTCGAGATGAAAATGTAATACTTATATGTACAAATGCAATACTAATTATGAATAAAATGTTTATTACTTTGTGAGAAAATGTAATACTTTTAAGAGAAAATGTAATACATTTACATTTTGATTTAAAAGTATTACATTTTTTCCTCAAAAAAATATTATATTTGCCCTAATACGGAGTACTTTTTATGTATAATATAATAGTTTTACATCAAAATGTAAAATATTATATTTATCTTTAAAAGTATTACATTTTCCGTTATAAGTTGCAAACATTTTATTCATAATTAGTATTAAATTTGAATATATAAGTACAACATTTGAACATATAAACATAATAATCACATGTTGATTTGATTTGACCCGACTCGTATTACGAATTTTATTGGTGAAATAATCACAAGTGTGTCCCTTTAAACTTTGTCCCTATCCAATAATTTGCTTCTGGCTTCGCCTTGGGTTGTAAGTTCAGTATTGATCAACAAGACTTTTGATACTCTCATTTATGCAAAAGGAAAATATTATGTGAGGTATCCATGAATAAAATTTAGGAAGTAAAATTTGAGAATGCAAAAATACATATCATACTGATCTCTTGCTAGAAAGCCGTAGGCCGTAGCCAATCCCACGGCAACCTCATGCTCTTGGGTTTCTAGAAGCCCTTAGAACACCATATTTCTCTACTTACATGGTTACCCAATCCTAGGGAAAAAATAAACAAATATTGGGGTGGTTGGGGATTCAACAGAACAAAGATAAACGAATATTGGGGTTTCGAGCCTAAATCCCTCGTATCCCCCGCCAAGCAGCGTTTTCTCTCACAGTCAACTGCCATCTATACGATTTCAAGCTGATCTCCTGCTTCAATTCTTCCGATTTCACGGCTCATTGGCCCCCGTTTCGGGTATCAAACTCTCCACTTCCTGTTAATTTCTTATCTAAAATTATTATTTCCGAATTGCTTCTATTTTGATTTAATGATTACTACTAGTTTTACAATGCAATTTCTCCTTGAATTAACTGAGCTCTTAATTAAAGTTGAGAAGGCGTGATTCCCTTCGTTTGCAAGCCGAAGGTGCCATGGCGGGGGTGATAATGAAGTTCTTCATTGCATCCGCATTTATGTGGGCAATTCCTCTTGCAATTCTATACGGTTTTAACCATAATTTGTTTCCCGGTAAGCTTTTTTTCCTCTTGTTTTGTTGAGTTATCTAATCTCTTAGTGTCAAGATCACAGCAATTTTTTGTTAAAATTTTTTCATTTTTTAATTTACTTGGAATTCCCCTTGTGGTTTCAACCTAGCGAAGTTGTAGTTATGATCTCTTTTTTTTTTTTTTTTTTTTTTTTCACTAAATAAGCTTGGATTTAGTTCTGGACTTCTGGTTAAATTGTTAAGGGTATGAACTGGTTGTGTTTGGATGCCCATATAGCAAGAAGCTTGGGGGGATGGCATCAACCATTGCTGCTCTTACCATGTTTCAGAGGGCAATCTGGATCTCTTTCAAAATTAGAATGCAGCACGCATTATTGGGGGGAATGATTAATTGAGGTATTTAAAGGAGATTTGTTTAGAACAATCTGGTGGGTAGCAAATAAGGTTGGTTAGACCTTTTTTTTTTTTTTTTTTTTTTTTTTTGAAAGGAAAACCCACTCGGAAGGTTTACACAAGGTAAACCCCGCCTTGTAATCCTAATCGGCAAAAGACCAGAGAGGTAGACCAACCTATGTTGCCCATAGTTGACCGGCTCAAACTAAGACTCTAAGAGAGCTGGATGGGGTTTGAACTCGTGACCTTGTGGTTACAAGTTTATATCCTTAGCCATCTTGGCTTGGGTTACCCCGGTTAGACTTTTATTGTTGTTATAAGATGTTACTGTGAAGGACTGTCATGGGTGGGCTGCAAGGCATGTGTTGAACCAAGACTTGCAGACTATGCAGTAGTATATAGTTATGCTAACATGATATTATGCATTACGTTTAGATCTTTACTAGAGGATAGAGCACTTACTGGCTTACTGCTGGCCTCAATGCCTCATTTGGGTGATGCATTAGGAGGATTTTGTTGGTTCACTTTTTGACGTGTGGTAACTATTTTGAAGTATGATAGAAAATGGAGTATTTCAATGGTGAGCTAAGAAAAACTGGCCAGATCAACCCAAAATAGTTCACTTCTAAGTTTTAAACAATGTACCCCATATTAAACTGATCAGAACCCCAAAAGACAATTATAATTGACTAATTGTGTTAGGCTCAAAAATCTTCTTACTCTATTTAAAATGGTAATTCTTTTAATGCCTTCAAAGGTTACTTGTACCAGTCCCCTAAAACCCAGAAGGTACATGAACACCCTGCCCCCTCAATTCCCTTTCCTCCCAAAATGGAATGTGGGGGGTAACCCGTAACCCTAGCCAAGATGGAAAGAGATCCACACTTGTAACTACAAGGTCACGATTTTGAATCCTTGCCCCTTGGTTTGAGCTAGTTAGCTATGGATAACTTAGACTAGTTTACTTTCTTGTGGTCCTTAGCCAGCTATGGTTACAACAGACAACTTCTTCGGAAACTTTCTCTTTACTTTCGTAACATGATCCAAGATCCCTAGACAACTGCTCTTAAAAATATAACCATAGTACCATACCATACAGTCCATGTCTTATTCAAGGGATGATTCTATTCTTAACTATGTTAAAAACAAAATAACCTTAACTTATTTCAATACTTTGTAGGTTTTTAAAAAAAAATAAAAAATTGCAGACATCATCTTTAAGGATTAATGTGCTAAAATTGATTTTATGTTCTCCCATCCTGTCTTTTACATGCATGCAAATAGCATATGTGAACATACTATTGTCTGGATGGTGTCTTTAATTTAAATATTGCATCTTTGATGCAAATAGAGTTTGGTATTGCTACTGAATCTGGATATCTTTCATCTGAAACAGGTTTGAATGATATGTCACCCTACTCTATGACATTGTTGAGCGGGTTCCTTGCCATCATTTCAGTCAATGTGGTTATTGCCTTGTATATTTGTATGGCAATGAGGGAACCCTCAGATAGGCACAAGCCAGATCCCAAATTCCTGGCAGATGCCAAAGCTAGCATAAATCAGTCTGAACAAAACGAAGCTGAAAATTCATCAGCAGCACACACAAAAAAAGAATAGGCCACCAATCATTATCAGGAATTTAGAACTTTCAGATTTTGGAAACACCTAGAATTAGAAAGTTGGAAAACTCGGGATAAAGTTCTCCAGCCTTTTTTTTTTTTTTTTTTTTTTTTTTTTTGATATTTATGGATACTGTGGTTTTGTAGAAATGGGATTTTTCAGGTTTCAATAACCTACCTTCTAAACAGGATTTAAAACAACTTTTGCTCATGGGGAATTCAGTCAATTTGTGCCCCAGAGTATGTCACGGCATGTTTTGCGGTTATTGTGTTATTGATAAAAAATGTTTCCTAGGTGGATTGTTGGCAGATCAATAAGCATTGTAGATTAGACATGACGTTTGGAAGCTGTATGCCTAAGCAGTGTTTGATACAGACCTAATGAATCATATAAAGATATTTGCAAATACACACTTTAAAAAAAAATTGGTACTTTTCTATTGTATTTGTGTCTTATACTTTCTAGAGTTTTTTTTTTTTTTTTTTAGATGACGAGGAAAACCCTATAACCCTTTCGAGTGTAAGTAAATTTCATCTTGTGATCCTAACCAGCAAATTAAAGGACCGTAAGAAAATAAACCAGCATAAGTTACTCGTTGTTGATATGTTTAAACTAAAGAGGTAAGGATTTGAACTCGTAATCTTGTGATTACAAGTATGGATTTCTTGCCATTTTAGTTGAGACTAATCTTTTTTCTTATTTGTACTAGTATTTTTGCCTGTGCGATGCACGTAATGGATTAAATATTTGGACCGATATATAATTATTTAAATTAGAACATCAAATATTATAGAGTGCGATTGAATATATGGTTTGGATCGTTTATGCGTTTTGGTGTTATCATTGCTTGAATTTAAACAAATAATTGTTCAAATTAATAGCTATGTGTAGATGTACGCATGCGGTGCTGTAACTTTGGAGATTTTATTTATCATTGTTTAGTATTTTTTTATAAATTAGGCAAATACGCTCGTTTTCTAGCAACTCAGTTATAAGAATGAATTGTTATCTTAATTTATTTGTATGGAAGATATATTTTTGTCTAAATATATAACAATTTTGCCATTTAAACAAAAAAATAATATCTCCGATTGTATTTACATATTATTAAAACTTCTTTATAGACGACATTGGTAGTATCAATACAATCTTGTCCATCATCGTCTAGAGCTAATACATTCAGTCCATCAGGATGGGTGACTAATGGTAGAATATTAGTCAATTAGTGAACCTTTTATATTTTTAGTCAATTAGTAATATTAGATTTATTTTCAGCCAATTATTCTTTTTTATTTTTAGTCAATTAGTCAATTAGAATATCATATGCAATGATATTTTTATCTAATTTTCGTTCCATTTTTAATTGATGATGTATAATATTATTATTGAAATATTTCCGTTCCATTTTTAATTTACCTTTACTATTGTTTAAAATATGCATTTACTATTGATGATGTAGAATATTATTATTGAAATAGTCCCGTCCAATTTTAGTTTCTGTTCCATTTTTAATTAAAATGCAATGATCTAACCATTTATTTTTTCATTTTAGTTCATTATGGATCATTTTTTTTTTATTTGCAGTCAACTATTAATATTAATTTTCTTTTATATTTTTAATCAATTAGTAATATCATATTCATTTTCAGCCAATTATTTTTTTAAAATTTTCAGTCAATTAGAATATCAGATGCAGTGATATTTTTTCCTAATTTTTGTTCTATTTTTAATTGATGATGTAGAATATTATTATTAAAATATTTCGGTTTTATTTTTAATTTTTGTTTCATTTTAATTTACCTTTAAATTACTGTTGTTTAAAATATGCCTTTACTATTGATGATGTAGAATATTATTATTTAAATATTTTCTTTCCATTTTTAATTTACCTTTACTTAATGTTGTAGAATGTTATTATTGAAATATTTCCGTTCCATTTTTAATTTTCGTTCCATTGTTTAAAATTGTGAACGATTTATGATATAATTGTGATTTGATATATTATACTGTGCAATATTATTGTGAAAAATTAAAATGCAATGATCTGACTATTTCGTCTTCCATTTTAGTCAATTACGGATCATCTTTTATTTTCAGTCAATTATTAATATTAATTTCCTTTTCCAATTTATCTAATTTCTATTCCATTTTTAATTGATGAAGTAGAATAATATTGTGAAATATTTATGTTCTTTTTTCTATTTCCATTCATTTTTTAATTTCCCTTTACTATTTACTATTGTTTGAGTGGGAAATATGTAAATATGATTTTGTTTTTAATTATAGTATAAATTAAGGTAAGTATAATTTATTTTGTGCCAATAATATTATACCTTAAGTATAAAAATATATGTATATAGATTACCATAAAATAACCATAATAATTACACTGAAAAAAGTGAAGAGAATTACAATAAATAATTATATATATATATATATATATATATATATATAAAAATATATATATATATATATATATATATATATATATATATATATATATATATATATATATATATATATATATATATATATATATATATATATATATATATATATATTATATATATATATATCTACTTCTACTATCTACTATCTACTATACTAATAAGAGCCCAAGAGAGTTAGGCCTATAATGGGTAGAAAAAATGGCGGTCACAGATTTTAATCAAATGAATGGTTCAGATTGATTAAAAGATTGATCAGATTTAAATTTTACACTAAAATTTCCTAAAATACCCACACACCATTACTAATTCCGTTAAAATTTTAAGAATTGTCGTTAGTTCACCGTTAACTTACTCATTGATTTCAATAAAAAAAGGTCTTAGGTTCGAACCTCATCCCAATCAAAGTTGACATAATTAGTACTCTATTTTACTCTTATTAAATTATATAAATAATAATTTAGTAGTTACAACAAAAAATAATACATATGCATTTCTTTAATTTAGAATTATGTGTCCACAATGCCTTTATTCAAAAAAAAATTATTCATTATCAATAAATTAAATAAGAGAAATAATTTTATTAGTTATATTGTCTTTATTTTTCTTCAATATAAAAATTCTTTATATTCAAATTTATTAATTGATTATATTCGCTACATTATCCTTACAATATCTTTATTCAGTGAAAAAAATTATTAATTATCAATAAATTAATTAAAAGAAATATTTTCATTAGTTATATTGTCGTTATTTTTCTCAAATGTAAAAATTTTTACATTCAAATTCATCAATTGATTATATTCACTACATTATCTATTATCTTTTTTGTGCACTATTTTTCTAATTAAATATCAAAGTTATAATACAAAATAATGCTATATATTTATTTACCAAGTATTTTATTAATACCATGAAAAAATTTAAAAAATATAATTAATAAAGCCAACCATATTAACTACTTGAGAGATTTTGTGACAAAGAGAGTATTCAAATCACACAACAAATTGAAGTGAGAACTACCTCGCAATGTCCTTGTTTGACAATCAGCAGTTAGCGGTTAGCGTTAGCGGATTTGACCAGCGAATTTATTTAATTATTAACATTGGGTAGAAAAAATGACCCCCAAATTATTAAATCAAATGAATGGTTCATATTGTTCAGGTTTTAATTTTTTTTCTTTTAAGATTTTCTAATTTATCCTTAATTATATGATTATCCATTTAACTTTTCCGTTAATTCACCGTTAGTCTAATTATAATATTAAAGTCTAATATAGAATTATAACTACACCATTAATCTAATTCTAATATTAAAGTCTTAATAGAACTTAACCACAAATCCTAATGTCGGAATCTCCTCAAACAATATTAGTATATATTTAATATTTTATGTCCTAATTTTTATTTGTTCTCTCTTATGTCCCGTATTTGGTTTCAACCATACCTATACAATTATTTTATTGACAATTATAATCAATCTTGACTATATTATCTTGCATTTGTAAACTTAGAATTACCTATTTAACCCGCACGGGCTTAGCTCAATGGTTTAGTGGGTAGTATTTGGGAGAAGGGACCAAGGTTTGAACCTCGACGGCGGCAGTGCGAGAATTATGTCCAAAGTGGGCAGATTCCTTGTGCGTATCAGCATTTGGCCCTGTCTGCTGAACCATTGAGTCACCGTGATTTACAACTTCCCACAATGCTCTGTAGGGTCGGAGTGTGGGGGGCCCTTGGGGTTGGGGACTCAACCTTTGGGAGAAGAATTACCTATTTAAATACGTAAATTCAACCTTCAATTATCTATGCATGAACAATTTCAATATAATCCTGCCTTAATATACTTTAAAGTACTTATTTTAAAAAAAAGCATTGGGCATTATCCCAATCGCGCAATGCGCGTAAAAAACTAGTATATATATATATCCCGAGTTGGCATCTGTCCTCCGACCGCCGAGAGTTTGTTAGGGAGGAGGTGAAAAAGATGGCGGCGATCGAGCACATCCAACCGGTTATCTATCCCGAATGGGTGGCTAATATTGTTCTTATTCCTAAGCCTCCAGCATGGTGGATGTGCATCGATTTCACCGACCTCAATAAAGCATGCCCGCTCGACCCGTACCCGCTCCCGAGTATTCATCAGATGGTTGATGAGACGGCCGGGGCCGAGCTCATGAGTTTCATGGATGCATTCAAAGGTTATCACCAGATTATGATGCACCATGAAGATGAAAGCAAGACAGCTTTCGTCACCCCGGATGGGTTGTATTGCTACCGAGTGATGCCGTTCGGCCTCCGCAATGCAGGAGCAACTTATCAAAGGATGGTCAATATGCTTTTTGCGAACCTTTTAGGCCGAACGATGGAAGCTTACATCGATGACATGCTGGTCAAGAGTCGGGATAGAGCCGACCACACTCGGAACCTCCGGGAATGCTTTTAGATCATGAGGAGGTACCAGTTACGATTGAACCCTAGCAAGTGCACATTTGCGGTTCAAACGGGAAAGTTCCTTGGCTACATGATGACTAAAAGAGGAATCGAGCCCAACCCCGCCAAGGTCAAGGCTATTTTTGATATGCAGCCACCCACGATCGTTCGGGAGGTGCAACAATTGACCGGCCGGTTGGCAGCCTTGAGCCGTTTCCTCTCCAAGCTAGCCGAGCGCGCCTTACCATTCTTCAAGGTATTGCACAAAGTTAATGGGTTCGTCTGGGACGACGAGTGCCGAGCGGCTTTCGACGAGTTGAAGGAATATCTGATGTCCCCGATCGTGTTGTCAAAGCCTGAGCTTGGCGAAGGGTTAGATGTCTATCTCGCCGTATCCGACCGAGCTGTTAATGCGGTTCTATGCCGGAC